ATTTAAAAAAACAAAAACCTAATTGGTTACCTTCAGGGGGTGATAGGGAACCAATTCATTACTTTGAAAACTGGTAAAGAAAAGAAACAATTACCTTGATTATATGAATTCAACCAATGGGAAAACAAATAGGAGATTAGTACAACTGTCTTTTTATAAAAGCATCCCAATTAGTAAATGAAAAAATAATAAAATTAGAGTATCACCATTTTGCAACACTAATGACTTAATGGATCTAGGCATTGAGCATCATAGATGCTAACATCAAAAAAAGAAAACCAAAAGAGAGAGAGCTTGATATGTGCTTTCTGATAGGAGAATGCACCATCCTATAATCTTGTGAAAACTGACCATTAACATGTAGAATTTTAAAAAGACAGAGAAACATGTTGAACCACACCATAATTATGTAAACAATGAAATTCAGGGTAGGACACTACAGTTTCGACAGATAAATTTTAAGAGAAAGAAAAAAATGGAGGGGGAACTTGTAGATTAAAAGAGATTTAAGAGATGCATTAAGTGACACATTTAAGTGTTTTAAGTAGATAATATTAAACTAAATTTTTTGGGATGCATATTTAAGTAATAAAAACTATATGGGTTTATAAGAAAGTAATTAAAAGTCATGAGAGAGGTTACTTTTGGGGACTGGGAAGAAGCTGAGGTCATGACAGAGTATGTGGAAGTATGTCTGGGTGCCTGACCGAGTTCTATTTCTTGACCTAAGTGTGGTTCCAGGAGTGCTTCCTTTATATTAGCTTATTCAAATATACATTTATTTTGTGTGTTTTATAATAAAGAGATTTTAGTAAAACAAAAACATCATCCCTAAAATAGAAAATCTTTGTTATTAGGTTGAAAGCTAATGCAGTACAGATATTTCTTTGGAAAACATGTTTCTTAAGTATTTTGGCTTTTCAGTTAGATGCACTTACAATGCTTTCTGACTGCTTCTTTTATCAAATCATACTGTATTTAAAGTTAGTCACATTTTTACTTTCCCATCAGTTGATGCTCCTCTGCATCACTGAAAAAATAGTTATTAACTATTATAAGGTTATATTTCCCTAGCCCTGACAACAGGTTTTAAGGTTTTACAGCTCGGTTTATGTGTTTTTTATTAATCTGGTAAACAAATTCAGGTGACATTTTCTGAGTAAGGGATCTTGAAATGAACACCATACTCAGAAAGCACTACCAAATCCACATGGCTGACAAGTTAAAATATTTCTTCAAATATAAAGGTAAGGGAAGAATAAATTGTGTTGTCATCACATTTTTGACAGTGAATGAATTAAATAGTTCTAGGATAATGGCAGTAACTTTCTAAAAAGAAGTATAAAGAGTATGTGAAATTTAAATAAAAATACTACCATGTTATATATGATAATCTACACATACACTATTAAAAACTATTTTTAAATTAATTTACTGATAAAATTTTTCTTTTTCTGAACACTATATCTATTGTGTATTTTTCGAAAGGAAATTTTTTCCCTACACTACATAACTTTCTGCTTTATGCTTCTAATTAAGATATGTACTGCTGTTTAGAGCTCTGTAGTGTGAAATTAGACAAGCAGTTTTTTAATATCCATAAAATAAATAAAAAAATGTTCCTGCTCTAACAGACAGATAATTCAGTCACAGAGAGCTTATTTCTGTTTCCTTTGTTTTCTTTTTTTTTAACTGCTTGGTAAGCCAATTTTCTACTTAGAATCTACTGTTAAAACTCTCATTTGGTTCAGTATGTGGGCTTTATCCTTTCCATGGTCTGTTATGCAAAAAAGATGGCTTTAATTTTTTTTTTTACTATGCTGCAAAGCAGTGGTTCTCAATTTGGATGCACATGTGAATCACCTAGGGAACCTGTAAAAGAATACTGATGCCTCCTCCCCTTCTAGAGATTCTGCGACTGGTCTGGGTGGGCCCCTTTGTAAAAGCTCTGCAGGTGATTGTAATGTGTTGCCAAGGCAAGGAACCACTACTCTAGAATCCTGCCAGTGTCCAAAATAAAAGCTTATAATCTTTTCTGATTGAACTTGGATGGGAAATGCTTTTTAAAAATTCTATAGTTTAATAGATGCAAAGATTAAATTTCTTCTCTCTGAGGTTGCTACTTTTTTAGTTTGAATTTTAGGGTGTAAGAGTATATTGTATCTTTTATTCTAATATTAGTTCAAGAAGTTTATTGGTCACTAGTGAAAAAAATTTAAAGACATATGCCTGAATATTACTTTTACAGGGGTTGTGGTTTTAGTTCATGATATGCAAAAAACATGTGCTACAATTCATAAAGATTATGTCTTCACACGCAAAAAAAGAAACAACTGTTTCCCTAAACATTTCTTCCAAAAGATCTTCACCTTTTGCATATAAAAGTTCATAGGAGGTTTGGAAAAAGAAATCTTTCCAAATCTTTCCTACAGTTTAATTTTGATAGAATGACTGAAGGGGCCAAATCCAACACAGCTACTGGCCAAAAGGATGAATTATATATCTTCATATATTAGGACTGAAAAAGGGGACATTTAACTATGCAATCAGTGGTGAATAATTAAAAATCATGTGTATCATATACAATTTTATTAAAAATCTATTCAAATACTTAAATAAAATGGATAAGTTTCCAGAAATACAAATTATGGAAGATAATGCAAGGAAAACATAGAATTATTGATAGAAAAAACAGCCCTTGAAAAGTAGAACCAGTATGAAAAAAATCTACCTTCTTTGAAAGACACCACACTCGGGCAGCTTTATAAGTGAGTTTTACCAACATTCAAGCATCAGATAATTCCCTTTATTGCTTCAGAAAAAAGGGGAAAAAGAAAAAAGCTAGCCAAATCACTCCCTAGGGTTAGCACAACCTTGATATGAAACTTAGTAAAAGAAAGTAAAAGTGTGCACCAATCTCATATTTGAGCAAACTGTAAAGCCTCTTTAATGTTCCCTCCTTACTATCTGAGTCAATCATTCCCCACTGGCTCCTACTGTGGCTTACACATACTCTATCCACAGCACCATATAATACCTTAGTGCACTCAGACACACTTTCGTATTTGTCTTTCATTGGTAGACACTAAGATCCCTGCAGGCAGGGATAGTTGTGCATTCCTATCCTGTGGCATGAAATATAGTGCTTACTCCACAGTCATGTTCAGTAGTTTCTGAATGATGTAGAAAGAGAAAGAGAAGGGCTTTTCAGGTAGAAACAGCAGTAATGCGTATGGGCAGGAGGTGGGAAGTAATGAGACAGTGAGTAAATCATTTGGCTAGAACACAGGTTTGTATAAGGATATAACACTGAAAAGGCAAGTAGGGGCCAGTCAGGGTAGGCTTTTAAGTGCTGAGGCTAAGTTTAGTTTCAGTATCTATTGAAGGCATCCAAGCAGGCAGTGGCTAAATCAGAGGTGTGTTGCAGAATCCAGATGAGCACTGCAGAATCCAGGTGACCTATCTAGTTTAAATGCATTGTTTAAAAAATTAGAAAAATAAAGTCAGAGAGAGTAGGTGATCCACCTAATGCCAAAGAACACTGAATTTGCTAAAAGCAGGCAGAAGCTTAGAGGGACTAAACATGGCTAAGGCCACACATTTAGTATATTGTCCAACCAAGAGGCAAACCCAAGTCTGTCCAACTCCAAAGTCCATGATCTAGATGACACCAAGAGACGAGGTATGTAAACCATATGCACACCCTTTCAGAGCAGTCCTAATTTCATGTAATACACTCATTTTAAATAAAGGTAATTCATGTAATGCATAACTAAAGGCTGATTTAATTATTTTTACTTTTATTATGAAATAGAACATTTAATAGAATTATAACTATCTTCATTACATTGTCATTTTAATGAAGTATTTTACTCAATTAGCTTCAAGACCCAAGATCAAGAAAATGGTGGGTATGAACAGGAAGTAAATTGGAACAAAACATTTCCTTAAGCCTAACAAAACCCATGCCTAGAGCATTACAAGTGGTGTTAGTTACTACAACAGAACTGGTAAAGTTCCCAGAAAAAGGTATAAGTTATTAATTAATTAATCAAAAAGGACTTTTCAGTCTTAAAGACAAACTGAAAGTTTATAAAATCAGAAGAGGTAGGTAGTGATAGAGAAAACCTGGACTTGTTCATTACATTTCATAATATGACTTCTGAGGAATACTTTAAAGTATAAAAGATAATAGACTTAGAGACAATATAAGAACACACTATTTCACCAAAGCAAAAACTTTAAAAAAATGGGGGATGCATTTTTTTTAAGTTATAAAAAAGTGAAAAAGAATTTCATACTCAAATTACTGGTACAAGCTGAAAATACCCACAGGTTCACGATAATGAAAGGTGATAGGACCACTGTCAGGCACTGTCCTCGCCTCTGGGAATAACCTTTTGGTGCTCCTGTCGGAGGCAGGATACTAGACTGAGAGACCACTGCTGCACAGCCCTCCGTACAAATTCTTGGCCCAGTCTTGGTGTGGCACCACAGGGTTGCACACAAAATGGGCATTTAACTGTTTGCTCATTGACTGATTGAAGTTTAAAGAAGGTGACTGATAACATAGCTTTGACAGAAATCATGAAATCATGAGCAAACTGTAATGACAGTACTAATAACAAGAACCATAACAGTGATCAGTGATAAAGAGTTTACTATACGTAGGTGTTGCTCTAAACTCAAGTCTTAACTCTATTTTTAAATTAACAAAACCATAGCACATAGACCTTAGTGACTTGCTCAAGGACAGAGAGCTAGGTAGTGGCAGAGCTAGGAACTGAATCCAGAAGCCTTGCTCTAATCACTGCTACTTGGGCCAGCCTTGAAACTGTCTATGTAACTTCTAGATATGATACTTTGAAGAATCCCATTTCATAAATTACAGGTTTAAAAAAGCATTTGCATTTATTTCAGAACAGAAAAAAAAGAATGATCCTATTTTATTTGCTTTTCAATAAAATATATATATATATATATATTTATTTTAGATTTACCTCCAGTCTTCCTTGAGCATAACCCAGCAGCAGCAGATTGGCCCTGTCCTTCTCTGAAGAGATGGGGGCCCATGGCCAAACATCATCACTGACCAATGGCCACCAGCAAACAACTGTATCCTGAGCACAATTGATGGCTAGATGACGCTCTGTTGTCCTGTTTACTGGGCCAGGTATTTCATAATAGGAAATCTAATGGTTTAAAAAAAAATATACAGGACTCATTTTTTAATGCAAAATCCTCAAAGTATTATAAAAGTTAAAGCATCTGTAAATGGAGATAAATGCAAGTAAATATGCATGTTAAACATGTGCTTAAGGAGGTGTCAGAATTTACCAAATTCTTTTGACACATTTGAAAAAGACATATGTTCAAAATTCTTTCCATTTTTAGCAGAGGAAAGAAAAAGGAAAAATGTGAGTTGGGGAGGAACTGGCTGTAGCAACCCCAATCAATACCAAAATGTACAGTCATGGTTGCTTGACAGCATCGACCTACACAGAGGATTTGAGACCAGCTATATTAAATGACAAGTTCAGTACTGCTGACCAAGAGCATCTGAATACTGTTTGAGACATAACACGTTAACAATGACTGACAACAATAAAAGGAAAAGCAACTCGAGGCAAATATCACTTTAAGGAATATATGAGACATATACACATACATTCTGAATAAAAGGATAAGCCACAGCATCATATGTAAAAGTTTATGCAGCTTCTGAGAATTATGTTTCTCTTTCTTAGGAAGAATTTGTAGAATTTATTATTCAAACTATGTTATTTTGGAACATGGTTATTTGAAAACATAAGCACGGCACCATCTGGGTGACACATGCCAAGGAAATATAGATTGCACCGTATTTCTGCTTAAGGAATTAATGGAAGGTTGATAGCTTGGAAGAAAAAAAAAAACTATCTTGCCATTGCTGGTCAGCAATAATCGAACCACTTTCTGGGGATTAAGCGCATGGCTAAGCCTACTGGACCAGACACTAGCAAAGGGCAGGGGGTCTTCTTATCAGAGAAATGCTTCTGGAGCCAGTCTCACTACATGACAGATTGCTTTCATATTCCTGTCTGCAAGGCAACAAAGGATGGCAGTAATGCGATAATGCCAGAGTGCAATGGGTGTTAAGAACCCGTTGCATTTATGTATTGTATTTAGTAAATAATCAGGCTCATCCAAATTGTGATCTCACCACTCAACCAAGGCCATTAAAATCAAGGTTAATGCTTTAATAATCCTCCGCTATTTTTTTTAAATATGGTCAAAAGGAACCCTTTTCTATTTGCATGGCCATAATATTATTGACCTCTTCATCCTCTGAATGCACATCAAAAGGAACTGAAATCAAAGTAATTACCAGTGTTGTTCTCTCATGGTAAACATTTAACTCCTTGCACTGTCCCTTTACTGTTAAATAAATTGAATTGGATTTTTAAAATGCAGACAGGAAAACTTGTTAAAGGTCAATAGTTTAAGGATATTTACCCTGCAATTTTCTTTACCAAAATTATTTCAATCTGAAAGAATTAAATCATGGTACAGCTGTAAAGAAAAGCAAAATTATAATACTCTACACTGTTTCCTTGTTTTCAAATCCAAATGGGCACTGACAGACAACAGAGATGTACTTTACGCTTTGAAGTGCAAATTCTTATATTTAAGCTTTCAATGCCATCAGTTATCTTCTTGAGAGAAATACCACAATGGAATTACTAAGTCCTTGAAAATACACATATTATTTTGATGTCCTTACTTGCCATGTAAATATATTACTTAAAATTTTCTACATGAGGAAATAGAGTTAAAACAAGAGACTGGCACTTTTAGTTCTCACATGACGCAAATCATGTATGTTATCTGAAACTTCATGTTTGAATGGCTTCGTATTCTATCACGATGGTATACAGGTCAAGTAAAATAAAGAAGTCTCTTAAAATATCCTTCCAATGGACAAATGGCAGTTTTTACTAATTTATTAAACACCTATATTTAAATACTGAAACAGAATATGAAACCATCGATGGGCTTTCCAAAAGGATTACTTCTCTAACTATAGAAATGATGTGGAGTGCCCATGTCCTAATTTCCCAAATCCAAAGGCAGGAAGGATAAACAAATAATTCCCTTACTTAAGGTACAAGGGCCCACATACCAGGTCCATTTGCCACATCTTTTCATAAGAGAAGATGACACCCTGACAGTTTCTCTCTGCTCTCATTAATGGATAGCCACTATTCTTTGGCTGAGAAGACTTCATTAAGCTATCCATCAAACCTAAGATGGAGAAGCTAGTCATACAAAATTTTAGATGACAGCATTAGAAACACAATAGTTTGTGTTAATGCACGTTGGTGCATTCTGAAGAACAGTACTGGTGAATAAACACCATTTCAAGTAAATATACAGTTAGCTATTCTGGAAAATAACATCCTATTAAAAATGTTAATACCAATTTTTTGACTAACCAAAATATAATACGTGAGTACCACTGATTTCCAGCTAAAGAAAATCAGTATTACATAAAGTGTTATAGAAGCTCCACAAAGCTGGTAAACAGAACCAAATTGTATTTTATTACCACAATGAAAAACTTATTTATATTTTATCTTGTATTAAAAATCTTTTTTTATAAGAATAGATGTTTCTACTAAATCAAATTAGATCCTCCCTCACACCACTACCACCTCAATCACAATAAGAAATAATCGCAAAGGGCAAAAGGTCAGGTTAATTACTTTTTCAAAAACACACAGTTTTAAGCCACAAGCTGATTTCTAAAAATCTTTGCCTTTGCTATATACTCTGAGTATGGCATAAGTGTGCATCTTTTTTAAGGAAGTGGTATATCAGCTCTGTTACCAGTGAACAGTGAACTGTCTCAAATCCACGTCACAGAGGCTGGATCAATCTTGCAAACACAAGTCACTGCTAAAAAGAGGCCTTGAACTGAAACAGCCTGGAAAATGTATTAGATACTCATCCTAGCAGAGAGTATGCCTTCCAAGCAGTTTAAAATGTAATGTGGAAAAACTTAAACACATCATTTAAAATAAAAATCCTGCCTTAACAGATGTGAAGTCCTTGATACAAGGAAACAAACTACCTCGAGTTAGTGAAGGGAGAGACCAACATGTTCGAAGATTTCTTTTTGCATTTTCTCCAGTTATAGTTGGAGGGGAGAATCTTCCCACTCCTTGTTTATTACACTTTTCTATTTACCTTTGAAAGTGCTTTCTTCCTTCTTTCTTTTCTTGTGAAATAGAAGCCAGAGTAGCTATCCTAGCCTAGAAAAATAATATGGTCTCTTAGGGAAAAATAAGAATGGTATATACACTGCCACTAGCAACAAAACCATTTTCAAATGTGTGAGTTGCCTCTCTTATCTGTCTTTTACCTCCGTAAGTACTATATAAATTGCTCCGAACATGCCATTGTTAGACCTCCTATAATGAGAGTAAAAGAAAATTTAGATGGCCACTGTTTCTAGTGAATCAAGCTTAATCCTATAATAACTCTGAAATCCAAAAATATTCAAGAATAATGAGCATAATATCAACTCGTGATACTCTAGAATACCTTAATCATTCATAATTTGGCTATTTAAGTTGAAATCCCTACCTTATAATCCAAAGCTGAGAGTTTTTCCAATCTTTTGTTTACATCAGGAGAACCCATCTTCTTGGTAAACTGAATAAAACATAGTTTGTTTTGTGCCAAAAATGATAAGATGATAAAGCTGTCTGTGAGAAGAGCTTAAAAAAAAAGAGACAAATTTGATAATACCATCGAATAATAAGTTAGAATAAAATAACAATGAAACAGATCTTTTTTCCACTGAAATATTATAAAAGGCTATTTTTAGAAGATAAATGTTAACTAAAATAACTAAAGTCTCCTAAATATCATTATGACATCTTACAAGGATATTAAAGATATTGGAAATAAATTATAATCAACCAAATCACGCATGGATTTGATACTTTTCCTTTTTTTCTGAGACCATTTCAATATACTCTGATGTTTGGGGACAACCACCAAATAAGATGTAGCTGGAACTAGGGCTAGAAAAGGATAAGATACAGACCGTTTCATACCCGAATGGAAGGATTAAAACATGTACTTTTATTTATCCTTAGCCTTTAATCCTATGTTTATATGATATAAACCATCTGAGAATAAATTGGATTTATTAAGGAATACAGATCAGTGTTCCCCACCAATCTAATTTTTTTATTTTAAAAATTTTCATCAATGAACCTTCTTCTTGAGAGTATACAAGCTAAATGAAATAAAGCACATTATTTCTAATGTGTGCATTAAACAAAGTAATATTTAATAAGGAAGATTAGCAAAACATTTCTACAGCTTTGTTTCTAAAGCATACAAGTAGGTAGATACTTTTTATGGGTTACAGAAAGGGCCATTAATGCTACATAAAATTACTGATAAAAAATAATTGAGAAATGTTTTATGTTGTTCCTAGCATAAAGAAATGATTGAATGTTTTATATATTTTTCTTTACTTCTACACCCCTCATTGTGCAAACAGTGACCAACGGTGGATCTACACAATTACAGGAGAATCTGGAGAACTGCCAAGAAATCACATTGTTATCACAGTCTCATGAGAGTGTATTATTTGGGTTATAAATAAAAGAAACAAGTGAAAGAAGATATCTCAGAGACACGAATAGTGTTGGAAGTCTCCTTTTAATTCTTATAGAGGTGCATCAGTATGATACAATCATCACAGTCCTGATTTTATTTGCAGTGTCAACGAAGGGGTCAGTTATGAGACGTGACAATGAAACCTCTTCCGTTGCACCATATTCCGATAAGGAAGAGGAGATGGCACACCTGCAATCCTGCCTCCCACTTACTATGATCAGTAATGCTGCTAATTATAGTCCCCCTGCAGGCTGCTTTCCTTTAAGATGATGGAACTGAGTCTGACTTATTCAGAGGTAGCTAGTGAGAGCGCACAGCAGATGGACGGTTTCTGTATTCTCACCTCTGTCTCTTCCATTAGACCACACTTCCCTTTGATTATTCAGTTTAAGATACCGACAGTTTGCAGTCTCTAATGAAAATACAATGTTTCTTAGACCTTTTACTGTGAATAAAAGAACATAATCTTAAAACTTCAGGAGTCAGCATAGTAGAGTGTAAAGAAAATGAGTTCTGCAGCTAGAACCTGAGTTCTCAGCTTAGTCATTTTCGAGCTGTTCCTTACTATATCATTTGTGGACATGTTCCTTAGTATCTCAGCTTAAATTTCCTTATCTACAAAGTGAAAATAATTATACCTTATAACAGGTTGTTTTTGAATTAAATAAAATGGGGAGGTTGGCAAAGCATAGAGCCTCTTAGGGCTCAATAAATGTCAATATCCTACTTTTCAAATATCTGGCTTAAAATATTTTTCTTATGTGCTTTGTAGCAATTATATACTATTGTGGTATCACTTAATGGGATCCAGATTTATCTGGTATATTTGACGTAGATTTTTGATATTTAGAAATATTTCCCAATTACTATGTTGTATACCTGAAACTAATATAATATATGTCAATTCTAATTTAAAAAAGAAAGAAAGAAATATTGTCCAGACTCTCTCAAGTTAATATTCATACACTTTGGTAACAAAGAATCTTCCTAAGAGGCAAAGCAAAAAAAATTTTTTTTTTTACTGGGGGATATGTTGACACATTTGGGTTATTTATTCAAAATTCATTTGAAAATGAAAAATATTTGAAATGTCAACAATAGGGGGCTAATTTTGAAAGAACACACTACAAAAACCCATTTTGAAAATACATTCACATTTTTTTAAAGAGTGAAAAATATTCAGAATATGAACTTAATACTCAACAAAAACTTTGAAATTAAATATTAGTCAAAACTTGTATTGGTCCCATGGGTTGTAACTATGCTATTACACACAATTACTTGTGTTTGCAAGTCCCCAGTGGTAATAATTAGTCTACCTGTTGACACACTATTTCTCCTGTCCCACTGTTAATGTAGGCAATTGATTTGCACATGGGGATAATTACCATCACTGATGGTGTCTGAGATGAGCTTCCCCACCAGGCTTCTGTCAATCACCACTTTCTCCAGCTGCGGCCCAGAAAGGCTTAGGGACACCAGCACACCTGAACCAAAAAGGAGCTAAAACCAGGTAAAGGAGGAAAGGGAAGACATACCGAGGATTAGAATCTTCTAAAAATCTCTCTCTAAACGTGTAATTTATACAGATATTTACATGTGCATCTACACCATGAAACTATAAAAGTTTTTCTTTATAAAAAAACAATCAATGACAGATTTTGGTAGTTAAATGATGCAACACAATAGGTGCACTGATTAAAGCTATATGCAAAAACCGAGTTTAGTCCACGTTTATTAGAAGTCTAATCTTCTAAGTACTTAGAAGGTACTATGCAGAAATAACTGCTTTGCATTGCATTCAGAAATTAGTATGTTCTATTAAAATATTTTGAAAGATTACTATTTATATCAAAATTTAAAGATTTCTTGAGGTTTGAATGGCCATTGCTACGCATGATAGAAAAGATGCCACCATGACAATATAATTAGTGAATGTTAATGTTTTATTTGGAATTTAAATCCCATTTTTACAAATAAAGATCCTGTCTGTATAAAATATTAAAATACATTAAATCAAGGCAATCAAAGTAAAGTGTTAAATTTTAAAATTCATACATTAATAACATACCAGGAACAATTTCTCAGGGAAGAGATAAAGAAATGCAACAAAGTACCCAGGCTTTATCAATATCAGTGCTCACCCAACCACCCAACAAAAGTGGATTTAATATCACCATTATGATTTTATGCTGCTCTTTTCCATTTGTGGCAGCATAATTCATTCATCTCCAAATGTTTAAAACTTCTGAAGGACTATGCATATGCGTATGCTTGTTATCTATGAGATTATGAAATATCAACATTGGAAGAAATTGTTTCACCTTCAAGGCAACAGACTCAAAGCAGATGAATCATGAAATAGCATATGGCATAAGAGGGAAAAAACCAATTGTCAGTAAACTTATCATGAACATGCTAGCCAAACCCAAAGACAACTACGATTTTAAACAAAATGGGAATTCCCCACCTACCTAGGCATCATGTCCCAGCTAGAGGATGATTCTGTGTCAAGACATATTGGGGCACGTGTGCAAGGCGAACAGCATGAGGGACCAGGGTCATATGAAAAAAAACCACTACTCCCCCACTACCTAACAGATTTCAGGCACATGAATCAGAAAATAAACTGAACGGTCCTTTGTACTTAACTGTTAGACTCCTTGTCCTACTTACCAGAAAGCTTTCTTTTAAGTCTTGTGAACAACATGACTTAATGGACTGTCCATTTCATATTAATGCCCCTAAAGGGGATACAAGGGAGTAGGACTTAATCATGTTTGTTGGTTTCAGAGAAAGCACATCTGTTCCTAGAATTTCAAATTACTTTTGCCACTGAATTACATCCAGCCCTGTAATATACCTTGATGGGAAACGCCGGTATTTCCATTTGGGGGAATTCCCCCATAAGAACACAGCATGTGGTCTTCACTCCCTAAATTCTCACTTCTCAGGAAGGCAATTTTAGGGTCATCTTTCATATCTAGTTCTTCCCATTGTAACAGCTTTTTCCTCGCTTCCCAATTTATTCAAAACATCTCAAAAATAAATAGAAAAAGACAGATTTTAATTTATTAAACTTTATACCTATACCCTTCAGCATCTCTTTTCTTAATTAGCCAGAGACTACTAGCTCCTTATGAATACTGGCTAGGCCATTTTTATCTTTTTATCTTCAGTGTCTAGAACAACGCTAGGCACATAGTAGATGCTAACTTAATGTTTAGAGACATAATCATAATGAGCTCATTATAGGAGCAGATAATTCATAGTTAGAAGGAAACCTAGTTTAATTTTCCATTTCCACATGACATGGAAGTTCCTTCTGCAGCATCCCTTCAAGAATCCTTCAAGCACCACCCCATGCTTGAATACTGCCAAGGGACCAGGAGCTCATTACCTTACAGAAAAGCTATTCCACCATTAGACAGTTCTAATCAATTTAAAAATCATTTGTTCACTTGTTTCATTCAACAAAAACAATGTTGATTATATGTCACCCACTAAACTAAATCTAGTGGCTCTAAAGTGAATCAAATATATTCCTTAAAATAGGTTAAATGTAGGTTATTAGAGAGAGAGAGAGATACAAATAAATAAGTATAATAAATGCATTACTGGTCCTATTATCATAGAGTACATACTGGGTAAAATAGGGGACTAAGAAAAAGGTGGTGACATTTGAGGTGAAGACTAATACTGCCTTTTTAGAATGCCTACAGTAGCCCCAGTTTTTCTTCAATAGCACTTTTTAAAATATTAAAATAACACAGTGATTAAAAACATGGACTCTAAAATCAGAATGAAATTAGCACTGGCTTTGCCTCTTACTACCTTTGTGACCTTGAGGGAGTTACTCGACTTCTCTGTAATTTCATTTTCTCGTTTGAAAACAGATAGGATAGTACCTGCTTCATAGGATAGGATTAAATAAATTTTTTTTACAAGCAGTATTTGGAATAATGCCCGGCACATAGTAAATGTTTGCAATTACTATTCTTATTACTACTATTCAACCACTACTCACATAATGTAATCTCACTATATTGTTTGCCATCTCCGAACACATTCTTATGTCTTTTTAAAAACCTTGTGCCCACATGGGACTCAGTATTAGACATAAGACACTAGACTCCAGGTGAGTTATAACCAGTATAATCTTTTGTTTCCTCTCCCATTTGCTATTATTTCACAAGGATGTTGTCTCCAAGATATGTCCAAGTTTCTTCAAAACTTTGGAATTTAATTTGTTCAAGTCTCAAATTTCTTATTATTTTCTGCTCTCTCTACCATTTTCATGAACCTCTCTCTCCTAATAGAAATTGCTTTTTCTATGTTTGAGCATACGCTACAAAATTAATTCTAAAAGATCACTTTTGTGGGATGAAGATGGAAAGTGCAACCTCTGAGAGTAGGTAAAAGAAGGAACTTAAGTTGGAAGGTTTCACAGGGGAAGTGCGAAGGAGCAGTAGGAAAGTGTGCACACCTCAATAGATAACTGATCTGTGCATGGAGATAGTGGCAGTGATTTGAGCACTGTGAATCCTGCCAGTGAGCTTGGGCATTCCTTCATAATCTGTCTCATAGGAGGTTCACCCCTTATTCCTACATTTAGCTCATTCATTCCACAAATACATACTTAGTACTTTGTATTAGCCAGGCCCTATTGTAGGTGTTGAAGATACAGCACTGGATACAACAGACAAGACCCTTGCCCTTACTCCCCTCAGGGAGCTTGCATTCGAGTGTGGAGACAGGCAATAAAGAAATAGTTTTAATATAATGTCAGATAACAGTAAGAACTGCAGAGAAAAATAAAGCACAGTAAGGATGGGGATTTTAGGAAGATGCTGTTTTAAGAAGGATGACTAATAAAGAAATAAAATGGCCTCTCTGAAGAGATGATATCTGAGTGCAGACTCAAATGACGTGAAGGGGCTGCCCATGTGGTTATTTGGAGGAGTTTGAGGCAGACAACAGCAAATACAAAGACCCCGAGGTCAGAATGTGCCCGGAATGACTGAAGCAAGCTAGGCTCACGTAGCTGGAGGGGGGCGAAGGAGATGGATATTCATAGAGAAGGAAATCAGTCTTTAAGCAGCAGAGAATTATAATCTAATTATGTTTTAAAGGGGAATCGGGCAAGAGTAGAAGCAAGGGGACAATTAGGAGTCTGGTCTAGGTGAGAGAAGATGATGGTCTGAGTATGAGTGGCAATGCTAAAGGAAATGGTATGTTGAAAGATTTGAGATATATTTTAAAGGGGATTAACCAGGGCTTGCTAAAGGACTGGATATGGCACACACGAAAAAAACTCAAAGGTACTTAGGCTAGCGACTAGGTTTACTGAGACAGGGAACTGAGGAGAAGCAAATTTAGATTAGAGGGGATCAAGAGTTTGTTTCTGAACATGTTAAATTTAAGGGTTATATGGATGGACAAATAGATATATCAAGTTGACAATTAAAAATGAGTCTGCAGTTCAGGGTGAAGTGAGGCCTGGAGATATATATTTAGGAGTTATCAACAATTTATAGGCAGTATTTAAAGTTATAAAACTGGATAAGCTCTCCTTAAAAAAATGAGTGGAAAGGTCATAAGGTTGGGGCCCTAATCCACTCTAACTGCTGTTTTTATAAAAATAAAAAATAAAGAGAGACACCAGAGGGCTCTCTCTCCATGTGCACACACAGAGAAAAGGACATTTATCACACAGCAAGAAGACAGCTGTCTAGAAGCCAGGAAGAGGGGCCTCACCAGAAACCAACCCAGATGGCACCTTGGTCTTGGAACTGTAAGAAAACAAATGTCTGTTGTTAAAGGATAAAGAAAAAAAGAGTGGAAAGAAAGAGGTTCAAGGTCTGAGCCTGGAGCTTTCCAATCTTTAGAGGTGTTAAAAAATCAGGTTATCCTTCTTATTGACACCTATTTGGGGTACTCATTGAGATCGAGGTATGGTTATCATTTCATATCTCTTGTGGTCTAAAAGTATCCTTGACACCAGATTTTAATAATGTATAAATAAATTAATAAGCTAATTAATGCATTTTTATAAAACAGCCCATGGGGAAGGATAAAGTTTCCAAGTACTGGTGCCAAAGATACTTCTGGATATAGTAATGAAGATAACTGGAATAGGAAAAAATAGTCTGAAACTCAGGAAAGGAATATTCCAGCCCAGACAGGAAAGTATTTCTGCCTGTGTACCCAAAAGGTTAGTTCTTAGACGCACCAAAGTGGAAGGGGCCTATGTAAGATTTGGCAGGACAAGAAGGACAAGGGCATTTGATATTGTCCTATTCCACTACAAAGGGAATGAGAAGAGATCCATGGGATGAATCAATGACAAGGCCCATGGGATTTCCCAACACTGCTCCAATTTTAATGTTGGGTATTTGTGCAGAACACTACTAACACAAAATAGGAATGGAAACGTCCTTTTCTCTGACACCCTCCCAGACGGGAAGTACCTTTCCTTATTATTTCATGGCTCTAACCATGTT